ATATATATTATTTTATGATAAACACTGAATAATCAGTAATGTAATTTATTTAATTTATTTTAGATGTAGATTATAAACTATTTATAACTTGAATTATACACCAACAACTTTGGGGGTACAAAGTTGAAGAGAAATTATATCTGGGGGTACGCGAAGACATCTTAGGGGGTACGTGAAATTTAAAAAAAAAATGTTATTTTATGATAAACACTGAATAATCAGTAATGTAATTTATTTAATTTATTTTAGATGTAGATTATATACTATGTATAACTTATTTACATAACAACTAGTATGTTGGAGGGGGGAGATACAAAATTAAATTGTCGTCTTCATCTTTAACCGAGGTTAGGAGAACACGTGTATATTTCACTTAAGTTATTTGAAACACGTTACAATTAATGAAACAGGTTGTTTGGAAATTCCGTGTGGTATAAAACTTGTAGAAGACTCCGTAGTCATAAATTTTGTGAGTAAATTCATGCAAATTCCCCAGGTAAGTTCTTTGTTTTCTGTAAAGCTTGTATTACGAGGGTTGTCTGAAAAAGGCGACATGCCGAGACACTGGTACACGTTCAGCTTACGAAGGAATACATATGGCGATTGTTTCTAAGGTGGATCTTACATAACAACAAACCTTGATGATTGTGACCTGATAATGAGTCTAAGTTCCTATTGTTTAAGGAATATTAATGGGTCTTTTAATGTTTCATGTGACTGGTACGCGCTCAACCGTTCGCCACTGACTGAAATTCTTCTGGACTTATTCCAAACACTCATTTGTATGTAATACGAAATGTGGAGACAAAGACTGGTTTAAGAATTGCGTTTCTTGTGACGTTACGATGTTCGACACACAATAAAATCGACAGAATTTAATACATTAACCCCAACCCTACGTCTTCGAATAGTTCGAGGCAGATTCTACTTTTCTGGGTTATGACGTCGTCTAGTTTAATAAGTGCTTACCAGTGCTTCGGAGAACTATTGCAAACCCTGAAGATGGAAATTATACGTTTCTAAATACTTAGTTAACCAAAAGCCCGAGACAATTAACATCTTCACAGCCACTAAAACTTGAAGTCTATACGGTAGTCCCTGGTATAACATTATTATTTAGTGTTCTGTCTGGCGACAGGTCCATATGAACAGGATCCTTCCATCCTTTTCTCGGACTGGGACCTGTTCATATACGTTC